GGGGTCTCCTCCCCCACAAGCAGGCCCTTAAATGCCTTTATTTTCTGGGGGAACAACAAAAGTTAAGTAGCCAAAGGAGCCCAACTGCCATGCAACTCCCCAGCGACGGGAGCCTTCGGAGGCCTTCCCCGCCAGGGGGAGGCGGCCACTGTTCGCCCTGTGTCCAGCGGGCCAGGGCCTTGCCCTCAGACACCGTCCCTGAGCCCCGAACAGGGTGGCCAAGGGCCCTCTTTCCCTCCTGGGACCTCCTCACGCACGGCCCCTCCGGTCCCGTCGCCCTCCGCCCAGCACTGTCAGGAGCTCGGCGGCTCCAGGATCTGGCCCCTGCTCTGACGTTTAACTGTGAAATGGCCCAGGGGTCGGGCAGATGTAATTGAGGTCACTCATCTGTGGACTCTGGGAGGTAAATGTGTGTGTGGACCTAACCCCCCGGGAGAAGGAAGCACGAAGAGACTCGCTGGAGGGAGGCCCCTGCTGCTGAGACGGGGGTTGTGCTGCTGAGAGTGACCCCCAGCCAACGGCCAACAGGTAAACGGAGACCTCAGTCCCACCCCCTCAGGAGACGGATCCTGCCAACAGCAGGACCAGCTCAGATCCTCCCCCGGAACTTTCGGGTCACAGCCCTCGGCTGACACCTCACAGCGGCCTTGTGAGACCCTGGGCCACGCCCCGCACTCTGACCTACAGAACCCTGGGCCACACCCCTACATTCTGACCTACAGAACCCTGGGCCACATCCCTACATTCTGACCTACAGAACCCTGGGCCACACCCCTACATTCTGACCTACAGAACCCTGAGGACACAGAACTCCCGGCAGCGGCGGGAGGAAGAGGCCTCCCCACCAGGCCAAGGGCCACCCTTCTCACGACAGAACCGCAGCATCGGGTCGGGGCCTGAACTCCATGCACGTCCCACTGAGTCAGCTCAGCTCTGCTGCCCAGAAAGACGGTGGGCAGGAGGCACTCGGGGGCACTGGTGGGCGTACCTTCGGCTCCGCCCTGGGCGTGTTCTTGCAGGTCAGAGAAGATTCTAGGCTTCACCAAGACGACGCCGTAGCCCTCGTTGTTGTGTATGATGTTGTTCACCAGGGAGATTTTGGGAAGGTCGTAATGCTCATCTAAGAAGTCCTGTGACAACGAGGACCAGCGTGAGAACCACGTCCCGGTCAGCGCCGCCTGCCTAACGCCACAGTTCCGGGCTGTTCCAAACCTGAAGCAGGAAGTGGGCGCACGGCCCGGGGCGGCCGAGCGAGGTGGCACGCAAGGCCTCCTGAGAGCCCTGCACCGCCAGGTGTCTGCAGCCCCGAAACCCAGTACTGTCCCGTGTCTCCCACGGGAACGCGGTAACACATCCGCCTGCGGGAGCGCCCGCGGGGGAGGCTCACCTTGATGAGGATGCCCTCGCGGCAGTGGTGGATCCCGCTGTCGCTCAGGGAGCACGTGCTGCCGGGGTAGATCTCCACGCCAGCCCCCTAGACCGCAAGGCAAGGCAACGACAGCCCTTGTAAAAGGCAGGGCCACGAGGGAGGGCCACCACCACTTCTTAGACCCCAACACGAGCGAATGCAAAGTGCAGCAGGAAGCGTTTCCTAGGAAATGCTGTTTCTAATGACGCTGCCACCGCCCGTTTCCAGGAAGTGGTCCATCATTCATCCCTCTGAGACCACGCACACGCACGCACACGCACACGCACACACGCACACGTACACGCACACACACGCGCATGCACACAACACTGGCTAAACTGTCAGCCGTTCACTACTGTTCCACTCTCACTCTGGACAAATCCATCTTCTGATTCGATCAATCATCAATACCATGGGACCATATCAAATAATGCAGAAGATACATCTGACAAAAGGCAACACACATTCATTATAAAAATTCTCAGAAACAGAGAATTCCCTCAACTTGGTAAAGAATGTCCACCAGAAACCAGCGACCCTTCTAGGTCATGGACGGCCCTGAATGAATGAGTGCGGCCCCAGCACAGCCACCCTCCCCTCTACTCAGCGTGCTGCGGGTGCCCGACCGTGTCACGGAGCAGGTCTGCGGCCACGCTTCCCCTTCAAGCCTGTGCGACACCCACACCCGCTGGGGATGGAGCCGGCCCCCAGGACAGGCGGAGGCACCCACCTTAGCCCCACACAGGTCCGAGGCCTTCATGACGAGCTCCGCGGAGGTGCGCACGGTCACGCCGGTGGTCTCGCACTGCAGCACGCAGTTCTCCACGGTGGTCCTGCCCCGGTGGATGACTGAGGGGGACACGCGACACGCTCAGTGCGAACTCGCCAACGCGGGAAGTGGCCCCGGGTGGCACCAGAGGTCTGAGTATCGCTGAGAGCTGCACTCACACGTCATTACCAGATTTACAAATTCAAACGCGTCAGCAATGACTGCTGTTAGCCACTGTCTAACCTAAAAGCTGCCCCTTAAACACGATGACTGGACCTCCGAGATGCGAAATCCAGCTAAAAAGCACTTTTTATTAAAAGGAAGAAAGTATCCGACAGTCACTTTCCTGAGCCCGTTGGGGGCCAATTCAAGGAGGGAGGGGCCGCGGACCCCAGGACACAAACACTAGCGACTCGTGAGGACGGCTAATTGGCATCGTGGGCTAAACTGACACGAAGAACACATGGCGATCTTGGGGTGTTTTAAAAGAAAGGCGGTCACACAGAAACCCACATGTAACCGCCAGCGTTCAAGTGCAGGCTGGGACTGCTCTCTGGAATGGGCTCCCCAGGCCGGCACGCCGCGTACGTGAGTACTGACCAGCCTCCTGGGGCTCCCGGGGGTTCCTGGACTGACCTCCTGGGGCTCCCGGGGGTCCCTGAACTGACCTCCTGGGGCTCCCGGGGGCTCCTGGACTGACCTCCTGGGGCTCCTGAACTGACCTCCTGGGGCTCCCGGGGGCTCCTGGACTGACCTCCTGGGGCTCCCGGGGGCTCCTGGACTGACCTGCGGGGAAGTGGTGGCCTCAGCCGGACCCAGCGGACACGCGCACTCAGAGACCCACCTAAGATGCCCTCGACGGCGTCGTGCTGGATAAACTTCACGCAGGAGATCCTCACGTCGGCGCCCGAGCAGTCCACGAAGGTGTCCCCCTTGCCCCGCTTCTCTATCACGATGTCATCGGGCAGCCCGTACCCTGAGGGAGAGAGCGGGCCGGTCGAGGGGGTGCGGGGCGCATCCCAACACGAGCTGCTCCGCCATGTCGGTCTCCAGTGCCTCCCAATAAAATCGAACTCTCCCCACATAACTTGTTCAACGTAAGCCGGAGTAGATACAACTTTCCATAAATCTCCTCAATTTGCCTCCGTATCAGGAACACCACCCGACACCAGCTCAGACCAGCTCGGCACTTACGAACCCTCGGCCCTCACGCTGGGCCCACGGGCTCTAAAGCAGGTGACACATACGTGTTTTGCCAACTCTACGATTCTGTTCTTCTAATATGAATTAGGTTTCAGAAAGCCTGAGCAGTTTTCAGGATTATCTAATGTTAATATCTCTTAAACAGACTGACTTAAAGTCTGACCTGCAGCCCTGGCTGGTGTGCTCAGTGGTTGGAGTGTCGGCCAGGGCACTGAAGGGCCTCAGATTCAATTCAAGGGCACGTACCTCGGTTGCAGCTCATCCCCATCCGGATGGGGCGAGTTTGGGTGGCAACCAATCAATGGCTCTCTCACATCAATGTTTCTCTCTCTCTCTCTCTCTCTCTCTCTCTCTCTCTCCTCTCCTCTCCTCTCCCTCCCTCCCTTCCCTTCCACTCTCTCTAAAAAGCAAGGGGAAAAATATCCTTGGGTGAGGATTAACAATAAAAAACCTGGCAAACTGACTTAGAAGACGTTCAGCTGCTGGAAAGCCAGGCTGCCCTTGTTGCCACTGAAAACCTCAGGTCTCAGCAAATCTGAACGTGTTTGCACGTTTCCCTCAGAAAAACTTAAACGTTAAAAAAATGCCATCATGAGAAACGCTGAGATTCTGACATGAACATGTATTCTTAGCAGTTTAAGTACCAAGCGGAGGACGTTCTAAGCAAGGACAGCCTGCCACACGCATGTAGAGCACTCGGCACGTCTCGTCACAGGTGTGGCTGCCGACAGGTCAGCATCACTCACACCAGCAACCGACCGCCACCGCCCCGACCCGGAAATGCCCTGGGAGTGACGAGCCGCGGTTACACGGAACTCAGAATTCCCACGCCATCTGCGGCGCTTGGGCCACCGCGCGGTAACTTCCTACGGCCCAGGCAGAGCTGAGACCCAGCTCGATCTCTACCCGCCCCCCCCGCCCCCCCCCGCGCCCTCCCCGCTCTCCCGACTTGCGGGGCCTGCCCGCAGGTGTGCTATTCACACCTCCCCTGCGTGCGGGCTCGGGGCGGGAGGACACGGCACACTTAAACAGAGTTAAACAGAGTGCGGGGTGCTGAGCGGTGAACCAGGAATGAGCGGCCTCGCTCCCATCAGGAGCTCTGACAAGATGAAGACAGAGGACCATGGAGGCGCCTGCGAACAGCTGCGAGGCCCCCGGTGATGGATGCCTGTCTGCATTACCAGCTTTATTGCCAACTTGACGCCCTTTGGTAAATAGCTGAACAGGTGCAACTAAATCTGACACATTATGGAAACACACAGGACCGGGATGAACGATCGCACAGCAACCTGAAGCCAGGCCTCTCCCTGAGTGTGCAAAGCAGAGCACCGCGGCTCCTCCGAGTGTGCGAGAGCACTGCCCGGCCGGCGCGGCTCCGGGGCTGAGCGTCCACCTAGGAACCAGCAGGTCACAGTTTGATTCCCGGTCAGGGCACAGGCCCGGGTTGCGTTCCCCAGAGCAGGGCATGCAGGAGGCAGCGGATCCATGATTCTCTCTCATCATTGATGTTTCTGTCTCTCTCTCCCTCTTCCTTCCTCTCTAAAATCAATAAAAATATTTTTTAAATAAGCTAAACTTTAAGTAATGCATCAATATATCCACAACATTTATGAAATAAGATAAGCAACATGTAAAATAATATTTTAACGTCTTTTAAAAATATATTGCTGGAATATTTTTTATTCTAGAAACAAGATCTCCTCCCCATGAACCTCCTACAATCTGGAAAGTAGTCTTTTCTTGTTAATCCTTTCCCACTGATCTTTTTAGAGAGTGGAAGGCAGGGAAGAGGAGATGGGGGGGCGGGGGGCGTGGATGTGAAGCACAGTGACTGGCTGCCTCACATGGAGGCCTTGGCTCGAACCTGCAACCGGGCGTGTGCCCCTGACTGGGAATCCAGCCCGTGACCTTTGGTTCATGGGCTGAGCTCTAACCACTGAGAAACCCTGGCCAGTGCCTGTGGCCTTTTCCTCCTCTGCGTGTCCTCCAACACACGATGCCACAGAGAACACCCCCCACCCCGGCTGCTCAGACACCAGGTCGGTCCTGCATGTGTGAAATCGAGGGGCTGACCCGCATTCCTCCTGGAGCTCCGTCCCACAAGGCCGGCGGGTCCCCATTCCTGAAGCCCGTCTTGCCTGAGCGCGGCCTGGTCCTGACCATCCACTCACCTTCCAGCTCGATGGAGTCAGCGATGGAGATGGCGCCCTGCACCACGTAGCGGCCAGGACAGACGATCACCCTGTCGCCTTCATAGCAGGCGCTGACGGCCGACAGCGGGTCACTGTGGAACTAGAAGGCAGCAAGGACATGGCGCGACCCGAGGGTTTCTGGGTCCCACACTTCACTCTAAAGGGGTCCCCGCACACAGAGCATCCCGTGCTGCCACCGTGCACCAGGGCGCGCCTGCCGAGTGCCAACCGAGGCAGGGCCGTCACCGCCCGCTGAACAGACCAGCTCTGGTCCCATCGCTCCGCAGACTCGGGAACCTGACGAGCAAGAAGGAAGCCACTCAAGCAAGAACCCTCCTCACCTGGACCTCCGTGTCCTCCGCACCCGGCTCCTGACAAAGCCGGTCCCTGAGCAGGGCCTGCAGCAGCCCGGTCACCATGGTGGAGGAGACGATGTGCGTGACCTTCTGGCCACTCGGACGGGCACCCTTTGCTTGGACGTTAGAATTCTTCTGGTAACCGAACACGTACCTGGAAGGGACCAGGGAGCTGTGAGCAGCACGGCCTGAGGAAAAGCCAGGAGGCCCTACCAGTGGGACTCGGGTTGAGCAGCGACCTATGAACCAGGAGGTCACGGTTCGATTCCCGGTCATGGCACATGCCCAGGTTGCAGGTTCCATCCCCGATGTGGGGCGTGCAGGAGGCAGCCGATCCATGATTCTCTCTCATCGTTGATGTTTCTGTCTCTCTCTCCCTTCCTCTCTCTGAAACCAATAAAAACATATTTTTTTAGAAAGGAAAGAAGCCAGGCAGCGGGCAGGCGCGGGGTGAGGCCCGCACCTCAGCAAGGGGTTCTCGATGAGCTTCAGCTTCTGCTTGAGCTGCTCCAGCTCCGAGTACAACTCCAGCCCCTGCACCATGGAGACGTTCTCCTGCTCCGAGTCCGCGTGGCAGGCCGACACGGCTGCTCCGCAGGTTCAGGAAGCTCCTGTAGACGCCCTCGCACTGCGCCAGCAGGCTGCGGTAGTCGGCGACCAGGCCGGAGGGGACGCGGTCCTCCAGGATGTCGTAGTGCCTGCAAGTGCAAAGCAGGCTGAGCCCCTCCCCGCGGACACTTCCGGCCACTGAGCTGGCCGCGCACTCAGAGGCCCAGGGACGCACTTCCTGCGTGGGGCTGGGGGCGGGCAGGGCTGAGCCCGTCCCTCGGAAGTGGAGCCGCTGCATGGAATATTTTCTCGTACATTAGATTCAAAATCTTAGTAAATGGGTCGCAGAGGGCAGTCTGCGGGTGGGGTGGGGAGGGAAGTAGCCCAAATAGTCTCCGAACAACCTACAGGACGACCACATTCATAGGACGAAAGATGACAAATGATGCAAATCCCGGCCCTTCCTCACAGAGCACGTGGGACGGAATCACAGACAGTCCCTCGGGGAGGCCGTCAGAGTCGCTCAAAACGGAAGCCTCCCAGGTCTGAGAGAAAACAGCCGTGCTCGCTGAACTGGAGATCAACACCAAAGAACCTCGGGTTGGACAACCTTATCAGCACTTAAATGTATTACTAATTTATGTGCCTTCTCGAGTCCACGCAAAGTCCTTCTAGATGCAAGAGGAGAGCTAACGGATGAATGCACAGTCCAGCTGAGGCCTGTGAAACGGATGGATCTGAAAATGAGGGGCAATGCTGTTGTCACTGTTAAAAGTGTATTTTCTTGAAGGTGCGTCAGGTCTGGGCTTCTCAACCTTGGCTGCACCTGAGAACCGCTGGGGAGCTCGGCCCACCCAGACAGTAAAACTGGGGTCCAGGAGTGACAGGTGCTTGTAAAGCTCCTGGGGGCTGTGGGGACAGGAGGCAGGGCTGTGGGGACAGGAGGCGGGGCTGTGGGGACAGGAGGCGGGGCTGTGGGAATAGAAGGCGGGGCTGTGGGGACAGGAGGCGGGGCTGTGGGGACAGGAGGCGGGGCTGTGGGGACAGGAGGGTCCTCTCACACTCAGCCAGGCTCTATGTTCTTCTGGAAGCAGAGCCACACCCCTGGCAAGCTTACATCAATCACCACGAGCCTCAGTGTTCAAACACGAGCACAATAACCTTTCCTGCTGATCAAGTGAACGAACGAGGTGCAGCTTGAGAACCAGGACCCTGTATGCTGGGCTAAGCCACTCGTGTAAGGACTGTCTGGAAATCCACTTTGCAAACAAGACGCTGGGCCCGAACCTCTGATGCAGGTGAGGTGTCTGACTTATGCAGATTAAGACTCACGCTCTGAAGCCAGCCCCTCAGCCTTCCCCGTACCCGCCGCGGTCGGGAAACGCAGCCCGCTGCGTCTCGGGCCACAGCCTGGCGCCAGCTCCGATGAGAGAGGAGCCTTGCCGTGGTGACCCCGAGTCGAGCCTGCTGAGCGCTGCCGACCTTCACC